AAGGCTTCTAAATGAGTGTGAAATTTAATGCAGACTATAATTCTCTGGATAGGACCCAAAATTTATTGGTTCGGATTTCAGATTGTTGAAGTAATAGCAACACAAATCTGGAACACAATAAGCTGGAACTGTGATCACTCATGAGCCTTGCTCCCTCTCCTGCCCCTTCCCAGCTGTTCTGTCTGCCTGTGGCTGGGCTGGACTCAAGGACACTGGCTAAGCCTGCACTTAACTCAGGATGGAGAGCAGGGGGAGGCATGGAGGCAGCCTCTCCTGGGTCCTTTGAAACTATCCTTGCAGCCCCAGCAGCATCCCTTTGCACAGAGATGCATGTGTGCTAAGGACGCCTTGCCGCAGGGGAAATCTGTGCCCTGGGATCTCCCTCCAGGAAAAAATGAAGCAGCAAATCTGGGAGAGGGGGAAGCTGCCATTGCCAGAACAGAGACAGGCCAAAGACACCCTCCTGGCAGGTGCCTGCTAGGCCTCACAGAGGAAGCCACCAGCCACCCCTTCGCCCCCAGGGCCCAGAAACATCTCTGGTGATCCTGGGCCCTGCGTGTCCCTCCCTGCCACCTTAGGACTGGCCTCCCCTGCTCCTCACTCTGGACTGTCTGCCAATCCCAAGCCTGCTGCTTTCCTGCTGCCTTCACTTTTTCCTCTTGGCTTCTTCCTCACAGTATTTGCTCACATTGTGCTCTCCAGGGCTGCTCCCAGTCAGGACGACCACTACCTGCTAGAAGGCTAGTCCTGGAGCTCTCACAGGTAGGGGCCACGACTTTGACTTCAAGCTAGCCTCCGTTTTGGGACTTTGTGTCCAAAAAATTGTGGGTTTCTTTCCTTTTTTTTTTTTTTTTGAGATTTTATTTATTTATTTGACACACAGAGAGTGATGGAGAGAGTGAGCAAGAGAGAGAGAGCAAGCACGAGAGCAAGCACAAGCAGGGGGAGCAGCAGAGGGAGAAGGCTCTTGGCTGAGCAGGGAGTCCAATTCGGGACTCAATCCCAAGGCTCTAGGATCAAGACCTGAGCCAAAGGCAGATGCTTAACTGACTGAGCCACCCAGGCAACCTCCGCAACAAATATTTTTTTAACAATTTTTTTAAAATTGAAGTAAGAATTTTAAGAGGTTCCAGTTCCAAAGTTTTCTACACTTTAATGGTCACACATTCTGCTTCCATCACCACCTTTTCTTTTATGTTTATTTGCCACAAGGGACCATAGTGGAAATAGTGCCAGGCAGACTCAGGAGACCTGGGTTCTAGGCTGAGTGACTTTGGGCAAGTCACACCCCCCTCTCCGGGGCCTATTTCCACATCCCTGATTAATCTAGATCAGAGATCACCAGCCATCTTTGATCACGCTTCTCCAATGAAAAAAAATGGGAAGCCTGCACCCATAATACGCATATATTTAAACTCTGTACCTTTACTGACAATTTCAGTATGTTATGATATAAAGATGCAAAGTAAAACACTTTAAAGCTAAATATTACATAAACTAAATAAACATCACAAACACCTTAAAAATAGATTCCTCTTTCATTTATAGAAAAAATTTCTTCCTCTCACAATTGTATTGTTTGCTTATAATTAATGACAATAGTGTAAGGAAAAGCAGTGTTGTTAGATGTGCTTCATTATTTTTTAAAATCTTGCTTTAACACTTTGAGATCGAGCCATTCAGGGGTCTAGTTCTAGTTGAGTTTATTTTTAGTGGCTGTCATAGCTGGTACAAAGAGAAGAAATGTATCGTTGGCTGCGTGTATTAAATTATGTCACTCATTTTTAATCCCATCCACCAATTAAAGGCTTTTTATCGAAATGAAGCTCGTAGATGTCTATCTTTCCTTATGTCAGTCAGTGGCTCTTACAAGCTAATTGGAAAAACATTGCATTTTATATTTTTAACAAATGGACTCAAAATCCACTGACACTCTCCATTTGGATGACTTTCAAACAGATTTTTAAAATCTGTTTCTAATATTTTCAAGTATGCAGATAGAAGCATTATTTTAGGTGACTCCACATGTTTTCAACAACAAAAATCTGATGTTCAAAATATTCTCTCCAAAGCAGGAGTTCTTTGGAAAAGCAAGTGCTTTTCCCACTCCTTGCTAAAATGAGTCACCTCTACCTCGAAGAGTCAGAAGAATTCGAGTTCATTTTTCAATGGATATCTGCCAACAGTCACTTGTCATCATAAAATGCTCAGCAAATTTGGAACGTTTGTCTTTTTGTACAAGAAACACATATAATTCCTCTTAAAGTTTGATGGCTATTTTAAGTACTCTGCCAAGAGATAACTAGCAAATCTCTCTGTGGTTCAAAGGTTTTCAAAGTCACTTCCCTTCTGGTTACAAATCATTGTATATGTTTTGCTATGCTTTAAACTCTTTTTTTTTTTTTTTAACTAACCACCAATGCACCCTGTCGCACTTTGTGTACTTCTGGACTTAACCTTTTTCACTGTAGTAACCTACAGGAAGTTTTGTGGGCAATGGGTTTCAGATGTATGGCCATCCCTGCACCCTTACCCAGAATCCTTTTCATCATGGAGCAGCCACTTCATCAGTGATTATTCCCAGGCAGTTTCTCCCATAACTGGTGTTTTCATTAAAGAAGTAATGTACTGTTCAGTCAATATCGCCTCTTTCCATTAGTTGCTCACAGAAATGTGGTTCTTCATGTATTTTATTATCGAAACAGAATCTAGGAAAACCATGTTAGAATAATCTGCACTTTTCTTCAACTATTTAGCAAACTTTCCACAGTGTGAAATTTGTTCTCATGCTTATTTCTCTACATCTTCCCCAAATATTTTCCCCACCTCTTCCAACAGTTTCTGTGGTCACTACATTGTGTTCTATGCACTATTCTTGCTACCACTGGCTACCGCTCCAACTGCCTGCTTCCCAATCTTTATAACACGAGGGCTGTGTGTGCGTGTGGGTATAGATAACAGAGTCACATGACAGGGGCCTGAGAGAGAGTGATTGGCTTTCTGGCAACCATCCCATCTCCCCCATCACTCCCAGCAAAGCCAGGTGTGAAGGTGGGCCCCCAGGGAAGGGAAGATTGGTATCTCATTCCCTGGTTGGATATAGGCTCACTGCTTGCTGGTCTGGCTTGCCTCTGTCTGACCACAGGAAATGAGCATTGAAGCCAGGACTTCAGTTATGTCTGACTAGATTCTCACCATTTCTGTGAATAAATAGAGAAGAAATTGTATTTTTAAGTAGCAAAGGTTTTGCCCTGGCATTTTCCGGTCGATCACCTGCTCTTGCATCATAAGCATTATCTGCAATCGTTGTTTCTTTACAGGAATCTTGTTAAACCACCATTTGGGAGAGTTAATTGAGTTAAAATTTGGCAATGTAATTTGTGAAGCCACTTAGCTAGGTACACGTGACCTGGAACACATCACAGTAGATAGCCCTTATTTTCATTCATTTGAGGTCATCACCATAAACTTCTCAGGGGGTGGGGGTGTTGAGGTGAAAGGGGGGAGAAGCAGACATTGCAGGAGGTTCTAGCAAGGCAGCTCAGATTCTCCAGGATCCTGGCCACTTCTGGGACATATATATGTATATATATGTGAGACTAACTCTGTCACCTCAGGACCTTATTTACAATGTAGATTCCTAGGCGTATTAGTTTGCTAAGGCTGCTCTGACAAAGTACCACAATTATGTGGCTTAACTGACAGAAATGTATTGTCTTACAGTTCTAAAGTTTAGAAAGCTGAGATCAAGGTGTCAGCAGGATTGGTTTCTTCAGAGGACTGTGAGGAAGAATCCGTTCCATGCCTCTCTCCTTATTTCTGGTAGCATGCTGGCGATCTCCAGCATTCCTTGGCTTTTGATGCCTCACCCCAATCTCTGCCTTCATCTGCACATGGTGTTCTCCTCAAGTGTGTGTCTGTGTGTCCAAGTTTCCTCTTTTCATAAGGACACAAGTCATATTGGTTTAGGGGCCCATCCTACTTCCTATGCCCTCATCTTTAATTATATCTTTAAGACCCTGTTTCCAAATGAGGTGACATTCTGGGGCACTAGGGGTTAAGACTTCAACATACAAATTTGGGGGAAGACACAATTTATCCCTAATGCTGGGCTACACCCCAGCCCTTCTAAAAAGGATGTCTCAGGGTGGGAGCTCACAGTTCATGTTCTTAACAAGGACCTTAGGGACCTTACTTGCTCACTAAAGCTTGAGAAGTACATGGCCATCCTAGGTGACAGGATTTTCTCTCTCCCACCTCAAATACATAGGAGTACTAAAAACTAAACTGTAGATTTTAATATATAGCTTAGTTCAAAAGAAATGAAGAAAAAATTTTCATGTGCCATAAATGGAGAGATCAAAACCAGAGGACTAAGCATTGACTATTGCTTAGGAAAACCCTAAGGAGTGTTAGACAAGGATACAGGCCCCTAGAGGCAGGGGGTGGGGGTAGGGGGTTATGGCTGGGGCTCAAATACCCTTGAGGGAGTTAATAGATCCTCTGCTTGAAGCAGAGAAACTAGTCCTTTTGCATGAAGCCTGGAACCTTGAAAAGGTACCTTGTCAGTGAGAATCAGTGAAAGGGGGACTAGAAAAATCATCCAGAGGTGATTTAACTAATTAAAAATTGGGCAGATTGGCCATTCAGATCTACTACGTGAACCCACAGCATTAAATAGCTTTCTTAGCTGAGGTGCATCTAAAGTCAAAGAATTTGGGTTGGTTGAGGGAAGGGATCAGGGTCATCCTGGAATACTACAGCAAAGTTGGGATCTGATAAAGCCTGCTAGCAAGCAAGGAAGAGTTTAGAACAGGCAGGGCTGGACCCCTGAGCAACTGGAGGAAAGGAGTCCTAGTAGATGGGAATGAATTAGACATACAGAAAGCAGAGGAGGGTGCAAAGAGGAATTTGCTGTGCTTCTGGTAGATATGTGAAGGCCAGGGAGGCATGAACCTGACATTCATAGGCCTCCTCCCTCCCCTCCTCCTCTCCCGCAGGTCAACCCTTTTCGAGACCGAATCTGCAAAGTGTTCTCCCACAACAATGTGTTCTCCTTTGAGGATGTGCTGGGCATGGCATCTGTGTTCAGTGAGCAGGCCTGCCCCAGCCTGAAGATCGAGTATGCCTTTCGCATCTATGGTGGGTGACTGAGTGGTGGGGGCAGGTAGGGGGAAGTGCCATAGAGTAAATACCAACCTGGAATCCGTCAATATCAATTCATTGGTGGGATGATGTGCATTGGGATTCACTTGGTGTTTATGGGTATTATCCTGTTTCTTGAGTTCTATAGATTTTTTTAAAAATGGTGGTGACTACTACTTCAATGGATAGATGCCCTTCCCTCCATGCCATCAGAGGCAAATGAAGTCATTGGTGTTGTGTTTTGTGGTAGTGTAGGCAGGCCAGAGGGAGTGATAAAGAGAGAGAGAGTGAGGGCTACATATGGATATGAAGGAACTATGCTTGTTTTTCAGAAATTCAGAAATTTGAACACCACAACTAGCTCAACCACTAAATGGCTGAGAAACTTGGGCAAATCATTTCATCTTTCTGGGCCTCAGTTTCATCATGTTTAAAATGAGATGTTTGAGAGAGATCATCTCTGAGGTCCCATGATGTCTTTTGGTCTCTAGTTTTATCTGGGGTACCCATAAGACACTGCTAAAGTTCTGCTTTTCAGTAGACTCATGTCCCCCTTAGCACAGCGAGATGCCTGGAATCCTCAAAAGAAATTAAAAGGAAAGAAACAAAGAGATCTTGAGGAGTCTTCAAACAGACCATGTATAAGCCTTTAAGCTCATTGTGACAATTCCTAGGCCCCAAAGGACTTCTACATTCAGGCTGGCATAGTTTGGCATATCATGTGCTTTCCTTTCCTGCCAGGTCCTCCCTGTCTCCACACAGTGGACACCATCTTATTTTTGCTTCACCCCAGTGGACCTGGATAAAATGGAGTGGAGGAGTTTTAAGCCTGATGGACCTCTGAGGGCTCAGTTTTCTCATCTGTAAACAAGACTTAATGATATTTTTGTAAGCCCTATGGTTTTAGGCTTAGTATCCAGTAAATGCAAATGAAATCACAGATTCTCCTGCTGAGAATAGCTGAGTACCATACTAAATATCATGCAATAGTTCCTATCATACAGTCACTTCCACAGATAGCAACTATAAACTCAAATATATACATATATATACATATATAGTGTATATATTATACATATATATAAATCAACTATCTGATGGCACTAGAAAGCTACCAGAAGCAGAGAATTGACTCTTGGAAGAAGGAAATGGTACTGGATGGTCCTCTTCCCCTTAAAAAACTTATTTAGCCCAAAGTTGGACTTCGGTGAGGGGCACCAAACAAGACTGGTAGAAAACTTGAACTCTTTCTGACTTGAAGAATCAGAGAGTTTGGGGCAATTTCCTCCTGAAAAGTAAAAGCAAGGGAGAGTCCATGAAAGAAAGCCAGACAAGGGAGCCCAACATCTGTGTATGAACTATGCCCAGATGTCTTTCTGACCTCTAAACCATATATACAAGGGCTAACTCAAGGCAGCTCAGGTAAGGATAACAACTGAGATTTGAGCAGCCACTGCATTTTAATAAGGTTTCTCTGTGACAGGGTTTGCAGTTTAAGTCGAATCAATTGCCTGATTGAATTAAAAAAAAAAGCACTCTTTGGAGGAATATAACAGAATCCAGAGTTTTAACAATAAACCATTTATAATGTCTAAGATACAATCCAAAATTATCAAAACACAAAAACTTTAGAAAACCAGAAATTCCCAAGGTACAATCCAAAATTATTCAATATACAATTTAAAAAATAAAAATTTTTATGGTCTTAAGAATGGAGCCTGATTCTGACATGACTCAAATGTTGGAATTAGCTGATAAGTATCTTAAAACAGCTACGAAACCTTGGCCAGTAATGTGAAAGAAATTCATAATGAAAGAAATCGTAGAAGTTCTCAGCCAAGAAATAGAGCCTATAAGAAAGAATCAAGTGGAAAATAAAATATCTAAAATAAAAATTCACTGGATGGGCTTAACAAAAGAATTGAGATGACAGAGGAAAGAGTCAGAAACCTGAAGATAGTTCAATAGAAATAATTTCATCTGAAGAACAGAAGGAAAATACATTGAGAAAAAAAAGAGCAAACCATGTCTTCCAGGGACACAAAAGACAAGATAAAGTTCTAATGCATGTTCAGTTGGAGTCTCAGAAGGAGAGAATTAATGGGGAAGAAAGGATATTTGAAGAAGTAATGGCCCCACATGTCCTAAGTTTGATGCAAGACATACATTTACAGTGAACTTTAAGCAGGGTTAAGTACAAATGAAATTACATACCCCAATTTAGTTGGTTTAGTGGTCCCCAGCTGTTTGTTAGTATTCCTCCTTCCTTACCCCAGGTACTTCTGGGGATCCCCAAGGGTTACAGCCCACCAGCTGCCACCCTCTCTATCAGGACTTGTGCTGCAGAGCACTTGCCATGCTGTCTCTAGCCATTTCTGCCTCCTGTCAGTACTCTCCTGGATGGGCAGCTCTTCCCGATGCAGAGTGCTGGCCCGGGCTTAGTGTTCTCATCTTAGCCAAGAGTCTCCATGTTGCAAGCAACAGGGACTTACCTGTGTAAAAGGCAACAGATGAAGAACTGCAGTATATTCATTTTCCATTGCTGCATGATAAATCACCACAAACCTAGTGGATTTAGATGACACATTTAAAATCTCATGGTTTCCGTGGGCTAGGAGTCTGGCATGGCTTATTTGTGTCCTCTTCTAGGATTTCTTGGGGCTACAATCAAGGCTCTGTCTGGGCTGCATTGGACTGGGGAGGAATCCACTTACAAGCCCACTCTTGTTGTTGGCAAGTGCATTTCCTTGTGTCTCTGGAGCTTAGAGCCCTGGTTTCCTGCTGACTATCTGCTGGAGGCTGCTCTCAGTGTCCAGAGGCTGTCATGTGCTCCTTGCTGCATGGGTCTCCCCTGATATGGCCACTTGCTTCTTCAAAGACAGCTAGAGAGTCTCTTGAGCCCATATGCTGGTAAGATAGTCTCATACAGTATAATCACAGAAGTAACATCCCTTCACTGTTGCCAGATTATGTTGGTTAGATGTAAGTCACAGTTCTGTTCCATACTAAAGGGACATGGGAATTACATACCTATAAACACCAAGAGGCAGGTCATGGGGGGAGGAGGGCTTGGAGTCTGTCTATCACTAGCAGCATGGAACCCATGCTGGAACTGAAGCAGCCTCCCAAGGACACAGCTGGCAAGTGGTCAGAAAGTGAGGCAGCTACTGTATTCTTTTCTCTCTATGGCTGCCAGGTCTCTCATCTCTGCTTCTTCCTCTGCAGACTTTTACGCTTCTGTGACTATTGGGCCAAAGATGAATACCCTGATCCCCCATTTTCTCAGGAGATGCTGATGGCTCAGCCAAACCAATGATCTTGCTACTCCCGGGCTTGAGTAAACAGCCTTGTCCAATCAAGTGCAGCCAAAAAGATGCAGAGTCACATAAACAAACACAGCTCCTGGGGCCTACTGCTAGGGGTGGGGACGCTTCTCAGCGATGGTAAAGTGTAAGCTGAGCAGATGTTCCCAAAGATGTCTGCCTCAGCTGTCTTTCCATGGTTTCCAGAGCTAAGCAAACAAAAACACCCAAACCTTCAGGGAGCTACAAGAACAGCAGGTTCTCTTCAGGCTTCGAGGCACAGGAGCTAAATAGTGTTCAGCTTAGAAGGGGGTGGGGGGAATGCCCTCACTTCCAAGAGGTCAGGTTCAGTGCCTCAGGTCAGATCGTGGACCAGACACCACCTGCCCCCCACGCTGTCCCTGTGTCCTCCTCCAGCCCCTCTCTCCAGGCCCTCTTGATGGGTTTCCTTCCTCCTTGAGCTCAAGTACAAAAACAAAAAGCGCAAAGTCTTCATGCAAATCAGCTGTGCAAATACATGCCTGGGGACTCATAAACTCCAAGGCTTCATCAGATATACCCAGACAAATCTGAATTCTCTTTGGGCTCAGAAGATTTGTTGCCTTACAGAGCTGTCAGCAGGATTAGAGATGAGACACGTGAATCTCTGAGCCCAGTGCTTGGTTCGTGGTAGCTGCTCAGTAAATCGAGGCGGTAAGGGTAGCAGTGAAGGCAGAAGAAGAGGGAAAAAAAGGAAAAGGAGAGGTGGTAATGGCCCCAGTGATCCTTCTCAGCTGAAGTCCAGAGGCTTAACTCAATGCTCTAAGGCTTTGGTCCCCCACACGGGGCCCCTCCACCAGGCACAGCAACACCGGCAGGAAGCCCGTTGCAAACACAGAATCTCCGGCCCCACTGCACACTCGCTGAATCAGAGCCCACATTTGAACAAGACCTTCAGCTGCTTCCTTCACATCTTAAAGTTTAGGAAACGCTGCTCTAACTCATTGGTTCTCAAATGTGACTGCACACTGCAATCATCTGGGGACTTACGACCCACGGCTACTAGGGCCCCAGCTGCAAAGATCTGATGTAAGGATGTTGGTATGCCTGGTGGGTGGGCTTTCTAAAAGCTCCCTGGGTAAGTCAAAGTGCAGCAGATTTTCAGAGCTACTATATCAGTTAGGCTTGCATTCAGTTATACATAAGAGCGACCATGTTTAAAAAAAAAAAAAAAAAGCCTGGGATTAGGCTGTCCAGAGGCAGGGGTAAGTAACAGAGGGCCTGGCTCCTTCAAGCCCCCAGTCTGCCATCTGTAGTATGAGACTATTGTCTTCATCATCACAAGATGGTTTCTGGGCCCATAGGCTCCTCATTTTTGCTCCAGGCAGGAAGAAAAAGGGATGGGAGAAGGGATAAGAACCAAATACACATTTGAAGGCACAGATTAAGTTGGCCCTTTAACAAGCTTTCTGGGATGCCCTACCCAGCAGCTTTGGATTGCTTTGTCCAGAACTATGTCACATGGTCACATATAGCTGCAAGGGAGACTGGAAAGCTGAGTATTTTAAGCTGAACATGGGCTCACCCTGGATGGGAACTGTACTGCAGTTAGTAGGAAGGCAGGGATGTTGGCTATCAGTCAAGAATCCAGCACCGGGGATGTACCTGCTGGGCTCCAGTTTCTGCTTTTTGGGACATTCCTGGCTTCCAGTGGATCCATCCCCTGCCCTCTCTGGAGGGACTGTCACCTGCCAGAGAACAACAACCCAGCACTGCCTTCCTGTTCCCATCAGTGCAGCTTCCACCAGTTGTGAACAACGTTTAGGCAGGTCCAGAGTCCCAGCAGGAGATCTTGCCACACCACCCCAAGATCTGCCACAGTACCAAGGGCTGGAAGAGACAAGGGAGGCAGGCTCAGTTCTCCCGGGAATGATAATGAAAGCATCCCTGTCTTCACTCAACTGCATAAGCTGTTTTCTGCAAAAGTACTTTGTAAGTTCCACAGAGTAACATGACAGAGAGGTTGCGATGATGATAGCAACAGAGTTCTAGGGGTACCTGAAGGCTGAGCCCTATTCTCCAAGCTCTCTCTAACCTTCCTGTTGTCGGGAAACAGCAAGAAGTAGGCCCTCCTCCTATTCTCAGAGCAGCCCAAGACTGCAGGTTTGAGGCTGCTAAGGCTGCATGGGCTGGCCAGCAGCCCAGAGCTCCCAGCCCCCACCCCTTTCCCAGGCTGCTCTGCCCTTGCACCCCCAAAGGAGAGGAACTGTCCAGGACTACATTCTACTCTGGCAAATTATTCTGTTTTCAGATGGCCTGGGACCAAAGCCATGTCACTTTGCTGCAGTCTCTGCATATGGGATCTGGGCCAGCGGGACGGCTGGGGACACTGCAGGGTCTCTGGGAGAGGCTGAGGAGCTTCTTACCAGCAGTGCAATGTCACTGCGGCTGCCCACTACTTCTAGTCCTAGTACTGATCCTTCACCCCTGCACCTGCACCCAGCCATTACCCACGATGTGTGATAGCAAAGCTGTGCAGGGAGGGCCTAGGTGGACATCTCAGGCCTTAGCCTCCAGGTGCTGGGGCTGAGACACAGTTGGCCAGAGAGCCACTTGCTTAAGGACTAGGCTGGTGAGTCGTACTTGCCACATCCATATCCTGTCCAGGGGAACAGAGACAAAAGTCTGAGCTCTACCCCTGAAGGAGCCTATGACATCAGCACACTTGCTCCTCCATCCCAGGACCAATATAGCTCTAGCTTCCATTCTTCAAAGCAAGATATTACACAGTTTCTATGGTTGGCATTTTCAGTATTTCACATCCTCATAGAATTGAGCCTCTACTCTATCTAGTGAGCATCTTCTATAGCGAGCATCTTCTGTGTTCCAAACCCCATGCCAGATTACTTCCATGCATTCTCCTTCTCCTATTTAATTTTCACAGCAACTCTGTGGAGCTACTGTTATCTATTTTATGGATGAGGAAACTGAGGCTCAGATCATGCAATAGTTAGGATTAAATTTGGTGGCAAATGACAGGGAACCTCAAGTCTCTAAGACCTCTGGCAGCTCTGTGTTATTTCTCTAACATGTAGAATCCCAGAGGCAGCTGTCCACGGTGGTTCTGCAATGTCCAGGCTGTAGGTTTCTCCAGGGTTTCACTTTATCCACTATTTCTGAGGTCACAAAGGGCTATGCCTTCTCCTTAAAGACATCCCCAGAAGTTGCCTGTGCCTCCTTTGCTTGCTTCTCAATAGCCAGAACTCAAACATGGAGCCACATTTAGCAGCCAGGGAGGCTGGGAAATATAGTGTTCATTTTAGATGGTCCTACACCGAGCTAAAAATTGGATGCTTCATCACAATAAAAATAGTTATGAGTGATTCAGAACACAGACTGCCCACAGAGTTGTCCTGCCTGGGTTTTCTACTGTCTCCATCATTTATCAACATGTGACTTTGGGTAGTTCATGCATCCACTTACTCAACAAATATTCAGTGAGTGCTTACTCTGTTCCAGGCACTGTTTCAGGAACTGGGGATACAGTAGTGACCAAAAAAGACAAAACTTTCTGCCCTCAAGGAATTTACATTCTAGTGGAGAGAAATAAAGGAACTAATAAGTAAAACACGCAGTGTGCCAGGTTCTATTGGGCGTTGGGAGAAAAATAAAGCAGACAGTGCAATTTTAGGCAGGTTCTGGTGAGAAACTGGCATTTAAATAAAGTCCCTAAGGATTTCTGGGTGAGTGTTCCAGGGAGGGGAAGCACAGTGCAAAGACCCTGAGGCAGGATCACGTCTGGCCTGATGGGGAAAGGCAAGGGGGCAGAGTGAGAGCAGAGTGGGTCTTGGGGAACACTGTCAGAATCTGGGCTTTCCTCTGGCTGAGACAGAGGCTGTGAGAAGTGGTGCTGAGGGAGGAATGTTAGGTACGATCCACAGGACCACAGGCTGCTGAGGGGAAAACAGACTGAGAGGGCAGACAGAGAGGAAGCATGCTGGTTAGGAGGCTGCTTGGATAACCCTGGAGAGCAGTGATGCTGGCTAGGCCATGGTGGAGGCAGTGCAGTGGGGAGGTCATCTGGCTGGGTCCACTGTTCTCCAAGGTGGAACTGGGAGGGTTTGCTACCACCTTAGTGGTGGGGAGTGAGGGAAGGGCACGGTCAAGGATGATTCCAAGCGTACTGGCCACTGCCCATTTGCCAAGTAGGGCACAGCTGAGTGCAGCAGGTTTGGGGCCAAGGACGAGGGGCCATGTCAAGAGTTTGGGTTAGGACCAGTTGAACTTGAGGGACCTATCAGATCTCCAAGTGCAGAGGACAAGTGCATTTGCAGTTCAGGAGAAGCCTGGGCTGGACAGAATATTTAAAGGCAAGAGGCTAGGGTGCCCGAGTGGCTCAGCTCATTGAGCATCTGCCTTCAGCGCAGGTCATGACCCCAGGGTCCTGAGATGGAGCCCTGAATCAGGCTCCCTGCTCAGCGGAGAGTCTGCTTCTCCCTCTCCCTTTGCCGGCTGCTCCCCCTGCTTGTGCTCTCTCTCTTTCTCTCTGTCAAATAAAATCTTAAAAAAAAAAAATCAGATAAAGGCAAGCAGCTGAAATGAGACTAAGGAAGTAAGTATGGTTATTTAATCTCAGTGCGCCTCACTGTCTTCATAGGTGTTATGAGAATTAAATGCAATAGAAGAGAAAGCACTTAGATCATTGCCTGGCACGTCTGTGTTTGTCGTGGTGGTATTGTACCTGCCTAAGCCTATTGCACTTACCGCATGGCTGACAAGTAGTTCAGGGGCTGTGCTGGGGTTCCAGAGGAGGTAAGTACATGCTGGGTGTTCTAGAAAAGGCAGAGGCTGTGCTGGGGGTTCCCAGAGGCAGCAGGGGTTGCACTGGGGTTCCCAGAGAAGGCCTGCCTCCCTCGGCATTCATGGCTCTATGAGTTCAGCCTGCCTTCCACACTTAACTTCTGATTCTCTCTCCCAGACCTCCAAGCCTCTTGTCCCCTTACCCCAGACTGATCACTCTGGTGCTGTTCCTTCTCTGCCACTGTCCCTAGTGACGCCTCTCTGTCCAAGAAGTCTTCTTCATTCACACCCCCAACCCCAGTCGGACATGAATTTGCTCATCTGGAACACCTTGGGATGCCTGTTCCTCTCTCCCTGGAGCCAAGCTACTCAGGTGCCCAACTGTTTCCCCTGCAGCCCCAGACTGGAAACTCCATGCAGGCAGGAGCCAGTCTGGTACATCTGTGCCCCAATGCCTGACTGAGGGATGGGCCCCAGCAGGCACCCACTGTGGCTGCCGAGTGCAAATGAAGGAGGCAGTGGCAAGAAGCATGTGCTGCAACAGGAAGACAAGGTAGCCCTAGACCACTGGTGCAGAGGAGAGCAAGCCTCATGCCAAGGACAGGTCCTGTGTTAGAACTCTGCGGGAGCCTGAGGAGGGAGCCATCCTGGGCCTGAGGGTGTCAGGGAGACTTCACAGGGGGCAAGGGAGGGCGAGCACAGGGTGAGTCAGAGAATCCCAGGGCCTGGAGGGAAAGGAGGAGGGACTCCACGCAGGGCGCTGCCTCCTGCAAATGCTGGCGGAGAAGTGTGCAGGGCCCGTAGAGAAGACCTGCAGCAGGCACTGACAGGCCAGGGACCCCCTTCTGAGGCGCCTCTGTGGGAAACTGGGTTAAACACACCCTGGAGGTCCAGCATGCAGGGGGCTTGTGTAAGGCCCGTATTTTGTTGTTGTTGACATACAATGCTATAGTAGTTTCATAGGAATGACCATTTTTGAACTCAAAAAGGAAGCCCCAAGGTTTGACAAGGGCAAGGGCACTCCCTGCAGTGGACACTGGGCATCATCCTCAGCGCCGGTGGGGCAGGTGGCACTGCGCAGGGCCAGGAGCAGGGACCTTGCACAACTCCCAGCGTCCTGCTGTTGTCCGTGCCCCCAGCTCCTGGCCACCAACCCCCTACTGGCTTGTGAGGTCTGAGGTGGAGACTTCCATCGCACGTTGATTGACATGGGCTTGGGGACCTGCCCAGCTGCATCTGAGTCCCGCCCTCAGCTTACCCACAGTGTGGGCCAACACCCTACACCTCTGTGCCTCGGTTTCTCTTTGCTAAAGTGAGACTAACAAAAGGTTGATTGTGAAGATTCAGTGACTTAAAACAGGTGAAGCTCTCAGGGTGTGTCTGGGCAGGTAGTATGCGCCCAGTGAATGCTCACGACTACGGCCGTTTCTAATCGTGTTATTCAGATGTGCCTGCATCTGCAGCCGGCCCGGCTCCTTGCCTTCCCTGGGCTTGCTGACCCGCCAGGGACGGTGGGGCTCTGTGGGGCCAGGGCTCCCTGGACTCCTGGGAGGCCGAGGAAGACTCCCCTTCCTATCATGCTCTGCCTCCTCTTTGCAGATTTTAACGAGAATGGCTTCATCGATGAGGAGGACCTGCAGAGGATTGTCCTCCGACTGCTCAACAGTGATGACGTGTCAGAGGACCTGCTGACCGACCTCACAAACCATGTGTGTTCCCCGGGGCCACACAGGCTGGGTTGGGCTGGGCCATCCCCCAAAGCCCCTGGATGGCAGGCAGGGTGAGGTGCCCTGAAGGATGGGCACACAGCTGGAAGCACTATTCCCCTGTGTTTTTTCCTTCCTCCATGGTCCGTCCTTCCAAAGTCCCCAAGAACAGGTGCCTGAGCCATCCACTCCAAGAGGGCCTCTCACTCACTCACACTGCAGTCACTGCAGGCAGGTGGCTCCAAAGCAGCTGAGCCTCAGAGGGACACATCACAATGTCCCCTTTCCCACATTATCCCAGCAAAACATAATGTCCTAATGTCCTGGAGTGATAGTCCAAAGTGTGACAGGACACCAAGGCAGCCTCACAAATTTGTTTGTCCTAAGACCATGAGAACTCTCAAGTCCTTTTGGTCTGGATTGAAGCTAGAAGCAGAGAGAAAACCACAAGGGATCATTGCTTCTCCTCCACCTGACTGGCCTCTTACAGTACAGAGCCCCTGCCTGTAGCCGGATGATAGGTGTGGGTGGGGACATGTCACCCAGATCACCTCTGTACCCATTTTCACTGCCAAGTTTGTGCTGGAGACATGAAGGGGACTCATCCCATGATGAGACCAGCCCATGCCTTTGTCTCTGGTGGGGAGTAGCAAGGGGGGGAGGGGGGAACATCTGCTTCATGGTGGGGGTGGGTGGGTGTCAGGGATGCATGTTAAGCAGAGAGCCTGGCTATGGCAGCTCTTGGTGTGAGGCATCTCTCCCCCTTCACCTCACTTTCTCATTTGGGGCTCCTCTCTGCTCTCTGGCTGTCCCTCCACCCCTGGCCAGGTCCTGAGTGAGTCGGATCTGGACAATGACAACATGCTGTCTTTCTCGGAGTTTGAACATGCGATGGCCAAGTCTCCAGACTTCATGAAGTAAGGTGTTCTGGGAACAGGGGGAGTGCCCACAATAGTGGGGGTGGGGCAGGAAGAGCCAATGGGGCCCCTCAGTCTTCCCAAGAAGAATCGTACTTTGTCGATTCTTTCAGAATCAGCAAACCCAGAGCTTCGCCGAAATTAGGTAACCTAAATTTCTAACCTTTAGATAGAGGGAGTGGGATTTTAACCAGCAAAGCCAAGATGACATTCCAGGCTTTGCAAATGATGTGGGTGGTCCTGTCTTCAGGTGCTGCCCATCTAAGGCTGACCTGGTACCTTGGTGTCTTCTTCCCAGCCACCAGGGGCTCCAGGACTGACTACTGGGGGGCCTTTGCCACCACCTATCCTGCTCCCCTGCCCCCACAATTCCAGAAGTCACTGGGAGTCAGGGATTTGCACAGGGGTGTGAAGATGCTGGTCATGGAGTATTTCCAAACCTTGTTTCAGGCAGAAGGGGCATTAATGGTCTTATATCTTGGTCCGAACACCCTTGAGATGATTGGCCATCTCCATATTGCCCAGGCCATGTGTAACAGTCTTGTTTGGCTCCTTCCATTTATGGGAAAAGCACCACCCCCGGAGGAAGCCCATTCATGATGGAACAGCCCTGTTAGAACGCCCTTCTTGTGTTGAGTCAGCATCTGTTGGCATGTGTCTGCTGCTCCTGGGCCCTATTCTGCCCTTGGTCTCATAGTCTAGGTGAATTCGATAGCAAAGAATGCCCATTCAAAGTGGTTTAACCAAACAATCAGAAAAAGAACAAAGACAACTAGACCTCAGAGAACACCTGGTCAGGAACCGAAGGCAGTGCATTTTCTCCCTTCTCTGCACCTAGAGTCTCTGCCTCTCTCCTCGGCTCCTCTACATTTAGCTCTACATGCAAACCAGCAATCTCTCTGTCAGACAGGAAGCCAGTCACTACCTCCATGCAGCAGTCTGGGGACTCCCAAGGAATAGCTCTCAGCTCTGACTCCAAATTCCCAGTCAGAGAATCAGATTGGCCCAAGTTGGGTCAGGTGTCCACCCTTCCTCCAATCACATGGCTGGAGGAGAGGATTCTCCAGGCCATCCTGGCTGCTATGGGGTGGGGCATGGGCAGACCCTCTGAAAGACAGTCCACACTTGGAACTACCCCAATTAAGGGTAATTCCTCTTCTTCCAGAACAGCCCAGCACATAACTGAGGCCAGAATCCTATCCTCTTTGCTTTTTCTTTGAATCTGCCCCATATCTTTCCATTGGTTTTGGTACCATGAGGTTCTGACACTTTTTGCTTTCTGGTGATGCTAAAAGGAACATAAAGAAGACTTTGGGTTGGTTTGTAACAGCTGTAAACTGGCCATCCCTCAGAGAGAGGATGAGAAGTGGGCAAAGGAGGGTGCCTCCAGGACCACTATGAACCCAGAAATTGGAAGGCACTTTAGATCTGGAGCTCAAGGTGGCTCATGGCATGCTTTCAGCTCCTTTCGGATTCACTTTTGGGGATTTTGATGTGGCCACAAATACCTGATCTGCAGCCTCAACGAGGGGACCGCTGGAACTTGGAATCAACCCTCTCCAGGTGCTGGGGGACTCCGATCAGAAGTATGACTTTGTCCCTGTCCTTCCCTCACTTTGAGACTATTATTTATTCAATAAAGCAAAACAAAAGCCTTGCCCTTGCCCCACCAGTTCATCTTTTGAATACAGGATCACGTAGAAGTACTTTTTATGAAGGACTGCTCATTCCAGGGCTTAAGTTTGCCAGTGACACCAAGCAAGCTGGGGTGACCATCTGTTTTTAAGACAGAGTTCAAATCCCAACCCACATCACAGCAGAGACCAGGCCAAATGGAATGTAGTTCACCAAGAAATCTACATCATTCCCTTCTTTCACTGGAGCTACATTCCAGCATCTCCCGGTGCCGACTGTACAGAGACGTGTGTTAGAGGTCATTTTAGTTGGTGCCTGGCTTCCCAGTCCTTGTCAAGGGAGAAGACATCTAGTCCCACTTGGCACCCTCAGTCCCCAGGATGTGACAGTGCGTGAACAGCAGTTGGGGTTTGTTTACTTTGCTATTCAGCCAAATCCTGGAATGAATTTAGCCCCCACAGGGATCCTTTGGAGCCCAGGTGGTCAAGGAGTCTGGGCCATTAGAGAAGCCCCTTAGAGGGTCTCTGAGAGCTGACAGATGCCTCTCTGATGGGCACATGGTTTTTCGTGTTTACATGGTCCTCCGGGGAAGTGTCTAAACACTGGCTCCCAGGGGAAGGGCTGTTTCACCGCCACATGTACTTGAACTTGCAGTGGTCTCTGCCTTTAGGTCCTAACTCACCCATTCAAGAGGCAATAAATTTCCCATTGATTGGTAGAGTCCCTTGATCAAATCCAAGAGATGCTAGAATGTTGGAAAAAAACCTGTCATGTGGATACATACCTGGCCTGAGGTCCCCATCCCAGATCCCGTCTTTTGAGGGGCTATCACCCCCATCCTGTCCCCTGCCCCAGCAGGCAGGCAGCCTCCCAGGAAGTGGGAAGCAGCAGCCTGGTGAGAGCAGGTACTCCAGAATCCCAACCACCAACATCTCATTTCCTTGAAGAGTGGCTTAGTCCTGAGTCACTTTCTCCTGTTCTATTCTAGAAATAGTCCCAGAGGCAGATGCCAAATCAGCCTGTCCATGCCTGTCTGGCAAGAATGCAGAAGATGGTTGCTTGACATAGCTTTTTCTCTCAGGCACCACAGGGGCCTCAGGACTGTATCATCCCTACTTTCCTGTCTCCACATGGACCACAAGCAGGTTATGTAGTGGAAAAAAGAGGGCTTAGGTCAAATCACTGGATCACCTCTAAGCTGTGTTGAGCTTTCTCAACTTCTGAGACTGTGTCTTTATCCGTAAAGTGGGGATAACACTACCTACCCCACAAGTTATCGTGTAAACTAAATGATGCCAAGTCAGGGCTCAAAATGGAATTCCTTTGCATCTGACCCCCGGTGCAATTGTTCCATGGTCACTTCACCTTCATTCTCAGACATGCGATAATGAGGCCTCCTCGATTATACTAGTGGAAACAGAGGGGAGGTATCTCTGTGCCTGACTGACCTGCCACCAAGGCTCGGGAGCCCTACAGTCCTTGGTTCTACCTGCCCCCACCTCAGAGGAGGGGTGGGTGGGCCTACTAGGTCGCTGGACATGGCTTTCTACTGGCTTGAACCCCTGAGCTGAGCCATCCACAGCCCCTAAGACCTGGTGCTGTGTGACTCTCGGGCGTGTTCTGCTGTGGCCAAATGTTCCTGGAGCTCAGAGAAGAAGACCATGGGTTTGGTCATGGCTAAAGATTTTATTGTGAAAAGCTAACCTGGTCAGAGCCAGGCTCTCAGGCATCATGCTCTGAACTCAAAGTATCGGTCTCTCTTCTGCCGCTCCTGTGGGGACACCCTCTTCCCCGAAGGGAATGTCTGGTAGGTCTTCAGGTTCTCAGGGGATACTCTTAAAAGGTTCCACTTCTTCTCTGGGCTCAGAGGAGGACTGGGGGGCAAGGACAGAGCCAGTGTTATATAGTGTGCCAGGGAACTGGGAAGGAAGTGCCCAACCACGCCCTGTATGCCCAATATTCTGGCCCAACTTGACCTTCTGGCTGCTCATTAGCTCAACATCTGATAAGTCACCCTGCAGTTGAGATGAGAATAATTTGCATCTGCACAACGGTTCAGTGGTTAAGAGAGAGAACATGGGTGTCAGATTCTGGCTCAAATCATGCTGGAAGTAGACACATTTAAAATGAACTAATGTTAGTACATCTGTCTTAGCTTTGCTTCAAGGAGTAAATGAGGTAATGCATACAAAGCACTTCAATAATGCTGGACAAGGAGGAAACACTCAACAAATATAAGAAATGGTGATGGCGATGATGTTAGTGATGGTGGTGATAGTGGTGGTGATGGTGATAATGGTAATGGTGGTGGTAGTCGCAGTGATGGTGGTCGTGTGATGGTGGTAATAGTGTTGGTGGTGATGATGAGGGTCATGATGGTGATGGTGAGGGGTGATGATATAATGGTGATAGTGGTGGTGGTGATGATGGTGATGAAACTCAGGAAAGGGCAAGGATTTTCCCCAGGCCACAGATGTGATCAGGGAAAGGGCTGAATGCAGGCATGGACCCTCTTACTCCCGATGACCTGGTTGGTCCTCCGTGTTGGGTGTGGAGCCATGAGCAGCATAGGCTGCCAGAAAATTTGGAGAAGAAATGGAGCTGGGGCATCCCAGGCTCCCCACAGATCCTGCCCAGAGTGATCTCAAGAGGAAATATATCCCCAGGAGAGGCTCCACATGGTCTCCAGGTTTGGTCTGACTCAGAGCCACCCAAGGGGCAGAGATGGCCAAGCCAGAGTCTAGGAGTTGGTGTCAGGAGATCTGGTTTTCTCTAGGTTCTACCTCCAATCAGACTTGCTACCCAGTACAAGTTTCTGAAGCCGTCACTAAGCTTGTTTCCCTATCTATAAAATGGGCCCATCTATCCTACAGAGGCAGTTAAGTTTGTGTCTTTCAAACCATTACACTCATTGGAAAGGGTTGCTGCCTTATTAATAATGGTGGTGATGAGACTTAGGGCTCTTGAGGCAAGGAAAGGGTCAGCATGTAGTTGGAAACCCCAGATCTTTCCACTGACCTCCTGATGCCTCCTTCCCCACACAACACCTTGGCAGCATATAGGCTTCTGATTTCCATGCCTTGGTGTCAGGAAGGAGAGCAAGGCAACCACGTGCCTGGAATATCCTACAAGGCAGAGCTGGCCATTCCTGGGAAAAGCAGCTCTCCCAGATAAAAGCAGTGAGGTGCCGGCAGTGGGGAACTTTCACGTTTTGCTGGATGGACAGTTGGGCTTTGAAAGGTGTTTTGTAGTCCTGAGGAGAACATTTTCTGAGTCTGGTCGGGGTTGGGGTTGGGGGTGGTGGGAGGAACCAAGCCCCTGCTCTGTGCAGTGCCCCCTGTGTCCGCCAGAGGGCAGCACTTCCCCACTGCTCAGAGCCGCTGTGCCCACGTTTGGACGAGTGTAGCTGCAAGGCTGCGATTGCGGGAGAGAAGCCTGCAGATTCTGGCCAGCAAAGATAGTGGGGTTTGCTCCCCAACTCCCCATGCATCTGACCAGGAAAACACCCTTTCCGATTCTGCTCATTTAGGTTCCTGGCATCCGTGTAGGGCTGCCAAAAACCCTGACGCCTTGCTGTGTAACTGTTGCCCTCTGTACCTTAGGCTCTTTAGGGCCAAATCTGAACTCATTTCTCAGTCTGAGTGGCGTGTGCCTGGCTGAAAGCAGGTGCCCATGGACATGTGTTTGTAGAATGCATGAATGGAGGGCAGGCACTCACAGGTCAGTGGGGAGGGGGTACCGTTCCCGCTCCTTCACAGGCAACACGAAGTAGGGGACCCGAGGCACCAGGCCCGTCTTGTCTAGATAGTACTTCCGATGTTCCTGTGCCATCTACAGCTCGACCCAAGGAAGAGATGACAGGCTGTTAGTGTGCAAGAGTGACCTGGGGCACCTGCAGTACCTGCCCGGCTATACCTGGGCAAGGGGTGGGGCTGCCTCCCCTAATGCCCTTGTTGGAGTCCCCAGCTGGGTGTTCTGTGACCAGTTCCCTGTCTGTCTCATGGGGAACCCCACCAGCTTCGCTAAGGAGAGTAAATGAGACAAGTGACCAGCAGAGGTAAGGTACATGAATCCTGGCTCAGCAGGTAGCACAGGTAAGCTTTGTGTGTTTGTTTCTCCCTTTCCCTCCCCCCTGGACTGGAGGTGCCCTGCATGAGAGTCATGATGGGGAGCAAAGGCCTTTCCATGTCCATTGACACAATCCCACAGCCCCCTCGGAGCCTGACAGCATTGACCTGGTCCTCTCCCTGGGGAGGGAAGGTACTCTGTCTGCCCTGAGCATCTGGAGGTACCCATGTCCTTGAAACCAGACTGGAGGGATGTTTGCAAGAGAAGTGAGGGAGAGGCTGGAGTTTCTAGGAACACAGCAGAGAATAAGCCCTGGCCCCCAGTGAAGTCCACAAGGCCATGGGGCAGAGGTGAGGGTGGGAGCATCCCCAAAGGCTCTGACTCCACTGACAGTGGGGGTTAGCAGGGACAAGAGCCCCAAGAGGCCGTGGGAAAGGGCATCCAGGAAGCAGAGTCCTGAGCCTCGTCCCCAGTGCACTGAGCCAAACCCCTAGGCTCCTTGCTAGGTCTGGGCTTCAAAAAAGTGAACAGGGTCGCTCTTTGAGGGTGAGAGGTCTCCTCTGGTCCCCCCATGGCTTCAAGCCCAGCCCCCTGCCTCCCCGCCTTGGAGAGGAGGCAGCAGCCCAGGCCAGGGCAGCCCACCTGGTAGAAACCAGTGATCTGGGCCGAGCGGTCACTGTCCAGGTTGAAGCGGGTGTAGCTGGGGACGTGCAGCCGGCGGTCCCGGGTGAGGGAGCGCTTACTCAGCACCAGGTCGGGGTTTGAGGAGAAGAGGGTAGGGAGGTGGCCGCCTTTGCTGAAGGGAGTGTAGCTCCTCTCCAGGGCTGCGTTGCGTTGGTCCTGGAAGTACTTGAGGGTGGCGGTGCCGTAGGGGGAGCCGACGGAGAAGGCCACACTGGGAACATGGCCCTGGTACCTGCAATGGTAATGGGGGTGGGGAGAATGGGAGGGGAGATGGGTGCAAGGTTCCGGGCCAGTTCCACAAGAAGCCCCTCGGTCCCAGGGATGGGCTCAGTGGGCCCCGTGGGTCACTTCTGGGCCTTGAGAGGCTTCCCCAAGGTGCGCTGCCCAGTTCGGGGCTCCGGGGAAGGATGAGTGCAAGAGGCTCCCGGCCTTTATGCCACCACCACCACCACCCCCCCACACACACAAGATGGTCATCCCTCCAGACCAGAGCCTGCTGCAGGGGCAAAGCACCAGGCCCCATCCTGAGCCCCGAGCAAGCCTGCAGGCGAGTCATTCTCCATCCACTCTGGGTTTGGCCCAAAGATGGGGAGGCCTCCTGCTGCTCTCTCCTTAAGGGTAGAGAGACTGTAAGAAGTTGGTGGGGACACGGCAGTGATGGGGGCTGTAAGATTTGTTGTAGCTATAAGGCCTGGGTTTAGGAGCTGCAGCCTGGTTCCAGCTCGATGACGCAGGCAGCCTGCAAGGAGCCCCATCGCCCTCTGCCGCCAGGAGGCCAAGGAGAGGGACGGGGGCTGGCGAGCAGGACCCCTGGAGACACAGAGAGCATAAGCACACATAGTACACTAAGGAGCCCCAGTCAGGTGAGATTTACTTGCTGTAGCCAAGTGAAGGGACAGCACCATCCTCGAAGAGAGGGAGTGTCAGACTTTGTGCAAATGTTAGAGACCAATGCTTTCCCAGTCAGTGCTTCTCACTCCCTGGGACCAGGCCCTGCCCCCATGGTGCCCCTGAAATGGCCCTTGACAAGGCCATCAGGGGGCTCCTGCAGCACTGGGCATTGCTGAGATCTGCCTTCTTGAAGCGCTGCTTCTGGATTTTACGACACTGTTCTCTCCTTGTCTGCTGGGGTTTTCACCTCCCTCTCGATCCTCCCCCCACCCCATGACGTGCCTCCTCTGCTCTCTTCCTGTGGGGGTCTGTCCTGAGCCCACACGGTCCCCTGGGGGATGGAATCCATGTGAAGGCCTTAACCGTCACCCTGTGCAGATGACCTGTGGTCTCCATCCCCAACCCAAGAGTTCCCTCAGACTCCTGTCCGCAGTGGCACACAGGCCTCCCCCTCGGATGTCCCAGGTGCGGTCTCCCCCCCCCCACCTCCCCAGCATCTCATCCCATCCTGGTGGAGAGCACTCATCAGGCGGCCAAGTCAGAAACCTGACATCTGCCTCCCTCAGCTTCGTCCTTCACATGCCATCAGTCCCCAAGCCCCGGGCTGCCATCTCCACCCCGAGCTTGGGCCCTGCCACCTCTTACCTGGACTGTGGCCGCAGCAGCCCCCCCATCCTCTCAACTGTACTCTGATTTCCCACCCCTTTCCCATACTTCAGCCGGACTGACTTTTCTAAAGTCAAGCGTTGAGCGTGGCATTCACGGCCGTCTGGGAGCTGACCTCGCCTCCCTCTCTGGCCTCACCAGCTGCCTCCGGCCTCACCAGCTGCCCTGCACTGGTTGTGAAGAGCCATCTGCAGTTTCCTGCTCTTTCTCCCTCTCTTGGGGTTTGCCCTGTGCTCCCAGCCATCAGTAATGTCAAACCTGCCTCTCCTGCTGCTAGTGATGCTTGCCCCCCAAAAGGATCCTTAAGGCCTGTCCTATGGAGCACCTGGGTGGCACAGTCAGTAAAGCATCTGACTGTTGACTTCAGCTCAGGTCATGATCTCAGGGTCGTGAGATGGAGTTCTGAGCTGGGCTCCATGCTCAGCAGAGTCTGCTTGGGATTCTCTCTCCTTCTCCCCGCCCCCTGCCACTTGTGCTTCTCTCTAATAAATAAATAAATCTTCAAAAATAAATACCTGCCCTATCATTTCTTTCAGATCCTTTCCTTGCCACCTCTTCCAGGTCTAGGTGGGTCCTGCTCTCTCTTGCCGTGGCACCACCAGCCATACCTCACTCCTAATGCTCTCGTCTGTTTTATGTCTTTGTCTCCACCACTAGGCTGGGAGCTTCTTTTTTTTTTTTAAGATTTTATTTATTTATTCATGAGAGACACACACACACACAGAGAGAGAGAGAGAGAGAGAGAGAGAGAGAGAAGCAGAAGCAGAGACACAGGCAGGAGAAGCAGGCTCTATGCAGGGAGCCTGATGTGGGACTCGATCCCAGGACTCCAGGATCACGCACTGGGCTGAAGGCAGGCGCTAAACCACTGAGCCACCCAGGGATCCCTGACTGGGAGCTTCTTGAGCAGAGCTGGATCACGTCTCACCTCTGGATCCCCGGTTTTCAGTGCCAGGTCTGGCAGGTAGGAAATGTTTGGGAAATGAACAAAATGAGTGGCCACGTGCCAATAGCATCAGTGACATTTCCGGTTGGACTGACTCACACAAATGCCCAAAGACCATGCCGCAGGGACCCCCAGCACCCCTCCCTGGGAGCTCCCTTGCCAACCCCTGCGACATCATGGGTGTCCCCATGTCACCAGGCAAAAGGACACTGCGGTCGAAGTCAGCGCTTCAGGATTACCTGTGGCAGCTGCTCTGGGCCTCGGCCTCCTCACCAAAAAAATTAGAAAGCAATGCATGGCTTCCTTCTTCCCATCTTCAGGTGGAAATCAAGAAAGCCAAGCATGGTAATGACAGACAGGCCTTCCAATTGCTCTTCACTGTGGGCAAAATATAACAAGAGTCCTTCCCTGGTTCCTGGCCCTACCTCCCGTCAGCAGCTGTGCCTTTTTAGAATCTTGCAGCACTCGAGGTTGCCTGGGCCCGAGCAGGGAGTGAGGGAGAAAGCCCTCCACTGCACTCAGGCATTTGTCCAGCCTCACCTCTCCTGCCCGTGGCTTCTCTCTGCCCTGGAGACCATGACCCTGGGGATCCTAACCCATTCCCACCTGCCTCTGCCCTTCTGCTCACTCCTCCCGAGTTCCTGGCTGATGGCTGGGTCTCCTTTCCTAAAAAGATGGTCAGCTGGTGAGGCCCATGAGGTCACCTTGGCCACTTCGAGGACAGAGTCCTCCTCTCTGCCACGGTTTACTCCCTCCTGGGTCCAGAGCCTCCCACCCTCCCATCAGTATTTCCCTGTTTCTCTCGGCCCCTGTTCTTCTTCTCTCTTAGCTTCTTTCCCTCTGCCTACACACACACACACACACACACACACACACACACACACATTTGTGTGCACTCTTCCCAGGCTGCAAAATCCTCTGGTGGGCCTTGCTGCCTCACATCCCACCCTTTCTCTTCTTTATTCCCGAATTTCTCTGCAAAATGTTCTGTACCTTCTACCTTTGTTTCTCCCTCTCCCGTTATTTCCTTGACCTCCCCCAGTCCGATCACCCTGCTTAAACGTGAGCCTGTGATTTTTCATTAAGGTAATGTAAGATCATCCAATCGCCAAATCCAACATCCTTGGCTCTCTCTCGGCAACACTCGCACTGATGCGGAAACTCATTTGCAAGAAACATAACCTGAGCAGTAGAAGCAAGGTTCCCGAGAGCTCTTTGTGCTAGGGATGAAACCTAATAAAAATAAAGGCTCAACAGTCAAGCAGCCAGAGACCAACAGCAGGGAGCTATTCCTTCCTTCCTCCTGATGAGTCCTTTCACACGGAGGGGGCTCCCCACAGACATGCCTCTGTCCCCCCACTTGCTCTTCCATTAAAAGGTGAAAGAACATCAGGCCAGGGGGTTGAAGAGGGGAAGGAGGCTTGTTGAAGCCACCCCCACCCCTTTTCCTTGCAAGCAAGCAAGCCCACACTGCTCCTCGCTGCTGTTCTGAGTGGACACTCTCTGCGCTTCAGGAGGAAAGCCTGCCCCCATCCAGCCCTGCCATCTCCTTCTGGGGTTCAGGATCAGATGTGTTCTCTCATGTCAGCTTTCGCTCTTTTATCTTATTTCTCTAATGGTTCAGAATGTAGGGATGAAGGACACGCTGATCATCAGGTGCTGTCAAACCCCAACAAAAAGATGATAAAGCGACAGCATGAAAACTAAAGAAAGTTTCCACAACATTCTTTAGGGACAAACGCATGACCCAAGAACATCAAACTGGCCAAGCGGCCATTCAGGTATAAAGGCAGCTGCCGGGCCCTTCCCGGCATGAAAGAGCTCAGGAAATAAAACAACCTATAGGCTCTCCTTGCAAGTAGTGCTCGGTGACGAAATCCTGCCAACTAGGAGATGATTCAAAAGAAAGAAATACCCAGTAAATGTAGAATCTCTGTGAAAAGGGCTGGTGGTTAGCTTCAAATCTATTTAAAAGTACGGAACTAGAAATAGCAGCTAGGTGAAGGCTGGTTGCAGAACAGAATGTAAATGTTATAAAACCTGTCAAAGGGAAAAATAATTTCAGTAACAAAAATTTGGGGGGTAGGGGGGCGATGAGAGTGTACTAACGAAGAATTTATAAGCAGAGTCAGCCCCGGGGCAACTACATTTAAGACATGTCATTGAAGGATACACAACACAGTGACTCTCACCCCTGGATGGTTTTTGTTCTCCCTCCCTCTCCCCACTTTAGAGGGATCTTTCGGGAATTAATGCCTCTTGAGCTGAATTACCATTTATCTCAAGTCTGGATATTCTTCCATTTTATGCCAGTATCTTTCTCTTCTGTTAGGTCCTAGTAAGACTAAATTCCATGATTTTCATTTTAAAATAGCAAATGTGGCATGAACATATTTTTATAGAATTGCTTTGTCTGTCGAGCCAGCCAGCCAGCCAACCAACCATCGAGTCTTTTAGCTGAATAATGGGACCTGGAATGAAGTTCACCAAAGGCTAACCCTGGTTAATTCTAGGTCTTTGGATTTGGGGTGGTTTGTTTCTTTCTGCTTCGTACATGTATCTTTTCTTTTCTTTTCTTTTCTTTTTTTTAAGATAGTGAGGTAGTGTTAAGAATTACTTTACTGGGAACTCACTGTGCACCGGGAGTCAGGGACCCAGAGGACCACAAAGTTCACCCCTTCTTCCTCCAGCCTACCCCTTCGTTCTGTATTTACTGTGTTACATGGCGG